CCCCACCCCCCCCCCCCCCCGCCATAAAAATCCGAACTTGCGTCAAAGCCCTAAGAGAATGGCGCGAATACGAGGACGCGGTGAGAGATAAGGACCTCGCCCGGGCCCTCCAGTTCTTGAAATCAGTGCAGTTGAATGAGAGTGATTCTCCGGTTTCTTCGATTCCTTCGTCATCGCCGTCGTATTCGGGGGGATGGTTGAGGCCGGAGAGGGATTGGGAGGTTCTGGACACTTGCTTGAATGCGGATGATATGAGGCTCGTTGGGAGCGCTTACAAGTTCTTGCAGGATCGAGGGTTCTTGGAGAATTTCGGAAAATACAGGAATATTGGTGAGGATTTTGCTCTTTCTTTTTGTGTGTAAAATGTATTTTTTTTTAAATGATATTTTGATGGGTTCTTGTTGGTGAGCTTGGTTGTCTTGTTTTTTTTTTTTTATAACTAAAAGAAGCTATCTTTCAATCTTTCTGTAATCTAGTTTTTCACATCTCAATCAACCTCCAGAGCAAAATCAGCCCTTTGATGATTAAAAAATGATGACAGTCCGATCTATTTTGAGATGTTGCTATAAATTTTCAGAAAATGCCAACTATAGGGAAAAATTTTGATTCTACACAAGCCTGTACTACTGTGGCAGTTCATTTATTTTGATATCTACTTTGCCCTTGAATGCGAGGAGGCGAGCACACTGCGTACGCAAGTAACTATACTGATCAAAATCCTGCATCTCATGAAAAGGCCTATTCCGTATGATGTTGCTGTACTTTTCTCTCCAGGAATCCAGACCTTAAGATTGTTCTCTAATCCTGTAGATAGTGTCCACATTTTCCTTTCTGGATGATATTGTGTGTTAGCATCGCAAAACGACATCTTGATGTCTCAAATTATGAAGTTCGCTAGCAGTTAATTCGCGCACTTGTAACAGGTTTTGTTTACCAATTATGTTCTCTGAGATTACCATGTTGTTTGAGTCTATTGCCTTTCTTGCCATCTGGCATCTGAGTAGTTCATTTACCTTAAAGATTGAAAAGAAATATGTGAGGCAGTAAGTACCTGCGGTAATTGTACCACCACTTGTGCACAGTGTGCAAATGGTCATATTGGTGTGGTTCTCGGCTAAGTTTAATCCCATAAATCCACATGAGTATATTATCCAATTCTATTACTTATGATGATTTCTCATTCTTATTCATTGTTTTTGCAGTTCTAGAAGGGCGGAGAGATGTCAGCCCAACAGTTCTAAAGGAATTAACTGGTCTAGAAGGTTATTATTCTCAACCTCTATTGAATAAAACATCATCTTTTAACTTCTTCGAAGTTTCTGGCAAATAATTCTTAATCGTCAATGACCAGGTTAGTTGTCATCGCATTAGTAATATGGACACCTCTATCCACTGACCTTTTTATTAGTTGCTTGCAAGTTCTATAGAACCTTTTCATCTTTTATCATTTTATGGGGGGAAGGCCTAAATATTTTGTTACTCGTGTGTTTTTCTTGAGCTTCTAAACTTTCACCAAAGAAATGGGGTCTTTCTGGAGCCTCTAGAGTCGTGTTGCTCGCATTCCTCGGTGGTGTATCTTTTCTGCTCTCACAAGGAATAGATATACGTCCTAACTTAGCAGCAATATTAGCGTTAGCAATGGGAGATGCAATTTTTCTAGGTGGTAGCTGCCTTGCTCAGATCTTATGCTTCTGGCCTCCATATAGACGCAGAGTTCTTGTTCATGAAGCAGGACATCTTCTTACTGGTGATTCGAACTGTGATTGATTTTAATAGTTATTTCATTGTTGCGTAGAACTAACTGATTTATAGTTTCTTATTTTTCTTATGTTCATGAATATTGCAGCATATTTAATGGGCTGCCCTATTCGTGGTGTGATCTTGGATCCCATTGTGGCTATGCAGATGGGCATCCAAGGCCAGGTATTCTGTCAATTATTGTTGATCATTCGTGAAATGTGATGCAACAATGAAAAGAGGACGCGGTAATTGTTAGCTTAATCAGCGAAATGGTCCTTAAAAGGAATGAATGTACAAAAGGTTCCATGTTTATGTCAATCTATTAAAACTTAAGAGAACTATATAACATGACATAAAGAATGTGTATCCAATGTGCTTTTTATTTCTTTTAGCTGGATATGTTGAGATGACCCATAGAGCTGAGTGAAAGAAGGGAATCCATGCAAGGAACCCAAAACTTTGGATAAGTCTTTGTTGTTGTTGTTGTATCTTTCCAAACTGGCAAAGGGTAATCCATAATGTTTACTTTCTTGATTTAAGATGGCTCTGATCTCTAGATAGATGTGCTATTGGGGCACAAAGATTAAGTTCACTTGCTTGCTATCCATCCATAGCTTACGAAGTGTGAACTGTGAAGTCCTCATATTTTTAATGGTTTTCATCTTGGAACATTCTTCACTTACGCAAGTTACCCAATTTCATTTCATTAAAACTATGTTGTTAGGGCCCAGTTCGCTCTTTGTGCTTCTCCGACCGAAGCTTATTCTGACCACCTATTTGATGAGTGTCATCTTAGATTCTCAATGTTTCCTTTGCAGGCGGGCACTCAATTTTGGGATGAAAAGTTGGAAAACGAGCTCGCAGAAGGTCGTCTGAGTAGTACTGCTTTCGACAGGTATATACATGAGCTTTCATTGGATACAAAATATAGGAAGCATCTCTACCTTGATTATTGGCAGGTAATTTTAACAGTCATCCATTTATTGCTCAGGTACTGCATGGTGCTATTTGCCGGAATTGCAGCTGAAGCCCTTGTTTATGGGGAGGCTGAAGGTGGAGAAAATGATGAAAACTTGTTCAGGAGTATATCTGTTCTCCTAAGACCGCCACTATCAATTTCACAGGTGTATATAATACCCTTCATGCACTAATTTTGAATAATTCCCTGGAAACTCTAGGATTTCCTTCCTACTATTAAATCTATAATTTGCACTTTTCGGTATATTGGTAGATGTCAAATAAGGCACGGTGGTCAGTTATGCAATCGTACAATCTCCTCAAGTATCACAAGCGCGCGCACAGAGCTGCAGTTAAAGCTTTGGAGAGCGGACACAGCCTTGGCGTTGTCATCAGAAGGATAGAAGAAGCCATGTCCTCCCATAGCTGACAGCATATATTTCAAGTTATTTCAAAAGGTTCTATACACAACTATCCTATAATTACTTGGTTTGCCACATTTATTTAAGGTATAAGCTCTAGTGTTTTCAATTTCTCAGGATGAAGGGAGTTGGAGCAATAGCTGCAATTTGTTTTGGTTCAGGCCTAATCCAAATAAGATGTAAACCCAAGTCAGTAAAATTGACAGTGATCGAATTGGGTTTATCAGGTCGTCCGATATCTTATGCGGTTACTGTGATAATTGTGCAGGAATTTGACAACATGTTGACGTTCTTTTTCGATTCATGCCAATGAATAAGGCATCAACTCTGCTTGGTATAAGAGTTTTCAGGTTCGAACGGAACATGAAAGCAGTGGCCTTTGGTTCTGCCAAGGAAAATATTTTTTCTTGAGTCGTAGTGTAGACAAGAGTGAGAAAAATGACTGTATATAGAATGATGTACAGGGTTCACAAGTCAAAGTTGAGTAGAAACTCCGAATATGGGTTTCATGTTGCTGTATATACTTTCACAATTCAAGTACTTATGTATTCGCTTTGTATATGCTTAATAGAATCATCTGATAAGACTTTGCTATTCTTTTTTCAGCAACTTCTCAGCAAATGTGGCATGTTCAAGGCTTATACGATCTCATAATTATTTCGGTGACGCTGACCTCTTATCTCTCAACCATCAATTAGCTTTTTTAGACAACTTGCTTCACTTATACGTTGTGTTTGGTTGAATAATTGATAGCTTTATGTCCGACCAACGTTATTGAACTGTCACCAAGAAACTTTGAAATGAAAAGCAAAACATCTTATTAACAAATCTCACAGATCTAACATTGAGATAAATTGCGAAGTTACAAGAATTCCGTGAAGCAACAAGCATAAACTAGAGACTCATGGAAAGACTGATTATTTTAGATTTCTAAACATGCATCAAACGAACACCAGGATGAAGTAAACTAACAATTTTTTCTACCTTTTTATTTTTTCCCCCTCAATTTTCAAGACAATGTTCTCAACCAAGTACTACCAAGTATTCCTCAGTGTTTTGCATCCTCTTCTTCGCAAAATTTCATATATTGATCAGCATCCATCAAAGATTCTAACTCCCCTGAGTTGCTCATCTTGACCTTCATAATCCAACCTTTGTCATACGGACCAGCATTCACCTGATTTAAGAACCAAACCAAATGCTTCATCACTATAAAGGATTTTAACAAGTAATAAATGCTAAATAAAAACCTGCTATGGTCTATTGAAAGAGACACTTAACTAAAAATATTACAAAATCTATTATGTTTTCAACTCGAGGTGTGTACTTTCGAACTATTAATCAAAAAAATAAAGAAAAGGAAGAAAATAGGCATCGACTCGTGTGGTCCTCATGAAATGCTCTGCCATTGTGCTAAAAGACATTAAAACTTAAACCTAGCATCTCATTGTGAATCCGGAAAATAAAACCTGAAGTTCAGGATGATAGAAATTTCAACTCTTTGTTTCCAAATTTGCTAGCTATTTTTCCTACTGTTGTGATGTACAAACTTGATAGTGCAGCGAAAATGATACAAGTAAAACATTGAAAGCAAGCCTAGATGTAGTCGAAGTTGAAATACTTTGACATGCAGTTAAGAATAGTTAGAATATATTGGTAACGAAAAGAATATGCTGAGAAATTTTAATACACCATATCAACTAGATTGATCAACTCACCAAACCAGGAGAATCGCTCAATTCGCTGTTAACTTCAACAACCTCCCCAGAAACCGGAGAGTAGACATCACTGGTGGCCTTGACACTTTCAACTGCACCAAAACTCTTCCCCTTTTCCACAGAGGTTCCAACATCAGGCAATTCCACATATACTACGTCGCCCAAATGTTCCTAGAAAAGAAACAATTACTTAGGACAGTACACAATGACTTAAAATCATATTGACAAAAGAATTGAAAGCCATTTTGTGCAAATTAATGCACCTTGGAGATACACGGAGTGAGAAACTATAGTTCTATTGAGATGTACAAGGAATACAATTCTAGAAATTTGAATCACATACATAGGAAAAAGGGAAATTGCATAAAGAACTGCCAAAAGAAAAAGATTTAGGAAGCAAAAAAAAATTAAAATTAAAATAAAGAATGAAATGAATTACCTGGGCATGGTCAGTAATTCCTATGGTCGCAGCAGTACCATCAGCTTTGACCCATTCATGACTGTCGGCGTATTTTAAGTCCTTCACGACTGCAGATATATTGAAAGCAAATCAGGTCCATTTTGTAATGAAATATCCATGCCAGAGAAAACACAACTATCATCCAATCGAGAAGTAAAGCAGAAACAAGCAAATGAATTTTAGACCTCCTACCAACTTGAAGCAGAAAACCCGATATAGCATATACTAGATGTTTTGTAGAAAATACATTGTATTGAAATATGGACCTCCGTAAGGGAAAATCCTTCAGTTGTTACTAGACTTAGCATGTGAGACATAAAGAAGAAATGAAGATCCAAATAGCTTAATAAATCAACTGAGCTAATAATTCTCATTCTATAGAAACTAAATTTTGTATTTCTATATGGATGTTTATCAACAAAGACAGGCTTATCACTAGTCCCACTACATGATGTTCAACTACCATCAATATTAGACGAGACTCCAAAACCAGAAAATATGACGAAGAGTGCTTCCTAGAACCAGTCCACGTCTCTGGCGCCTAGTCCAAAAACAGTTACATACAAACAAACTCATATAATTAAGGGATCACATAGGTCTAGAGAGTTAGCCAGTATAATATGCGCAAGATAATTTATGAGTTATCTCTCTACGGGTCAGGATCACCCACCATTCTAAATAATATCTCCTAAGATCTAAAACATGAATTTCTTTACCAACATCATAAAATCAATTTATACGTGACATTTACATTTCGCTTACAAGTATCAGATCTGGAGATTATTTTCAACTATAATAGAAAAAAATTACTGTTAAGAGTATATAATATTTACTCCACCATCTCAATATTAGTGAATTTCATTCTCTCAAATACGTGGCATAGTTAGAATCAACTGGCAATAGACATGTTAGTTTGAACTTTTTTTTTAATGTGAACTAAGGAATTATTGCCAACTCATACATGTATTGGCCATAAATCTATTCAATCAACTCATGCATCAAGACTTTTACACCCTAAAAAAAAACTCAAAGAAAAGGTGATGGAATGATCCAACACCAGCATCAGACCAAGATACCCGAATCCACTAGATGCCCACTTCAAAAAATCAAATCTTTAACTTCAAATTCAACAGATCCATCTAACCCAAACAATCATCAACTGCGATCTGATCAGGAACGCAGTCTTAAGAAACAGAGTAGGAAACAAATTAGGGCTAGGGTCTGTTATTACCAGAGGAGAAGCCCCTGTGGAAGGTGGAGATCTTGAGATAGGAGGCGGCTCTTGAAGCCCACAACAACCTCGACGCCATGAAGATCAAAGATCGCAACTTTTTTTTTTCTTCTGCCTGTGGGCTATATAAAGTTGGCTGTTCTAGTGCTCTCGGTTTATGAAGTTCAATATTATTTTTTATTTTATAAGTAAAGATCTGGAACTCCCCTTGAAAAGGCACCCAACTTCGCACCCAAAGGGGTTGTTAGGTTGGAGTCCATGGGTCTGGTTCAAGTGAAACCTAGTCAGGTTGCAAACTTCATATTTTCATTGAACAAATTTTCAAAACAGACTCAAATCAATTTTTAATTATCAAAATTAGCCTATTTTTTTTTTAAATTACCAAAATTGACTCACTTTATGCCACGTAAGCTTAATCACATTTCCTAATTAGTCGGGGTTGCCACCCCCGACTGTTTAGGGCATTAAAAATCGGGTTTAAAGCTTCTAATTGGGGTTTAACAATCTCCTAAACAGTCAGGGTTGGTAACCCAGACTAATTAGGACATGGGATTAAGCTTACGTGACATAAAGTGAGTCGATTTTGGTTATTAAAAAAAATGGGTAGATTTTAGTAATTAAAACTTGGTTTGAGTCTACGGTGAAAATTTGTTCTATTTTCATATGTACTATAAATAAAAAATAAAATTTTGCCAATATAACCCCTAAAAATTGCAGAATTGCTCTTCAAATCTTCATTTACGTTGGATAAAAATTATAGGAGATGTGTATTAAATTAGAACCATATTTTTAAAGGAAATTTGGGTCATTTGTCATATCATCCCTCTCGGTTTGAAAGTTCAACAATGTTAAACGTGAACGCTTGCTTTAACTCAACATCCAAGAATGTGAAGGTATATTAAAGATTAGTTAAATTTGATGAGTATAAGTCTGAAAATAAGATAGATTTGGAGAGTACATCGGTATGAAGAAAAATTCTTATAAAATGATAAGTGTAAATTAGATTGCTATGTATTTTTCGATTTTTTTGAATTTTGGATGAATCTATTTTGGATGACTTTAAATCTGTTAGTAGTGCTATTGGTGGAGTTTGTCCTCATTGATGTGATGTACCACTAGAAAAAGGTATTAAAAAAAAATCAAAAAATTAATCATCACCTACCCAAAGTTGGCACTTGATTCTCCTTCACCATTTACCTTAATCAGTTACGATGCCTCGCGAGAGGAACTGATCAGATCATTGTATGCAAGTTAGATCAGATGCGCTAGATTATATTTGGGCACCAAGACATCATCAGCATATGACTTCGATAACAACCGGTCGCTGAGCTATACAGTGGCGTAGCCAAGATTATTTTTTGCCCTGAGCGAAAAATAAAGGGATTGTGTCGAGCAAGACGAAGTAGAGGAAGCTGATGTTAGCGATTGTGTTGAGGGGAACACATTGTCGAGAAACTGGCTTGTAATTTGATAGCAACCCTTATATCTTCACATTTTCAGTTTATACTCAAAAAAATTTAGTTGTTTTAAGTTGCATCTCATTGTCATATTCATCCAAATATGTGATAGTTCTGTGCTAAAAGACAACCATAATTAGACAAATTATCTTTATATCCTTGATCCTTAGATTTTATCATAACAATATAGTTTGTGCGGATGAGTGGAATGAAGAGATAGACACTTTACCGCATATAAAAAATAAATTTTCATTTTCTTGGTGGCTCCGCCACTGGAGCTATACAGTGTTCAATGATATCGCATAACACCATTGCATAACACCATTGAATCATTTAATTTATACATATTTTTATTTGTATTTACTATGGAAAGGGCACCATTGAAAATTAGGACAGAATACCGCTTAGGAGGATAACATTATGACATCATTAGTGTAAATAGTTCAATAAGTTGTCTTGAGGCTCCGCTGTGACAAAATATTAGTTATGCCACCGGTGACTCTTGTAACACCTTGAAATATAAGTTAGTGTATGCGCAATATCGCGACGGATATAGACTACGAAAAGATAACCTCATTTGGACTTGGACCAATCTACAAAAGGTAAGAAATTTTACGAGTCTTAGTTTATTATGAAAGAAAATTATTGATTATAAGGAAGTAAAGCGTATTTGTTCCCTCATGTAGTATAGTCCAAGTGCCAATTCACAATCAACAAGATAGAAAATAACGAACAATCAAGAATAAATAACATCGAGATTTACTTGGTTCGGTCGACCAACTTCGACCTACATCCACGGGGCAACAATACGAAAAATTCACTATGTATCATGGAGAATTATAAGAGGAACCATTCAACTATTGTCTCTCAATCTCTCAACCTCATACATAATAAACTCTTATATTTTCTCCAAAATCCACTCCTTACAATCTTTTGAACGGACAAAGACTGCGAAACCCTCTCACAATATTATAATCTTTTGCACGGATAAATACATGAAATCCTTGCCTCTCGCGCAATATTCTTGAATCAGGTTATGCCCTATGCTAACCCTAGATTACAAGAATATTGGTTATCTCTCTTTCTCTTTCACCCAGGTTTTTTTCTTCAACAAATTAGAATATAATATATATATATATATATATATATATATATATATATATATATATATATATATATATATTATGTAAAAAACTTGTGTCAACTTAAGTGGATACGGGAATAGGTGTGTGTCACCAAAGTTTTTAACCACTCATATTGCTAGGGATCCATGTATTTATATAAAAAGGTGTTTTATATTAATAATATGTGTGGCTACAAACTTTGGTGGATATCAACTTAAGTTGATAGGAAGTCTTGCGCTCTCTCTCTCTCTTTCTCTCTATATATATAATATTATATATATATATATATATATATATATATATATAATATATATATATGATATTATATATATTAAGAGAGAGAGAGAGAGAGAGTAGTCTTATGTCAACTTAAGTGGCAGCAAGCTTTTGTCCACCAATAGAAACTTTGGTGCGACCATCCACTTAAGTTGACATAGAATTGCTCTCTCTTTCTATCCATGATGATACCTAGAGATCCCTGCATCATATGAAGAGACTTTTCATCGAGAGAGAGAGAGAGAGAGAAGAGAGAGAAACTTATGTCAACTTTAAGTGGACCATCCACCAAAGTTTCTATCCATTGATGATACCTAGAGATCCGTGCATCATATGAAGAGACTTTTCATCGATAGATAGAAACTTTGCGTGGATGGCTACTTAAGTTGACATAAGTTTTTCTCTCTCTCTCTCTCTCTATATATATATATATATAATATTATATTATATATATATATATATATGTGTGTGTGTGTGTGTGTGTGTGTGTGTGTGTGTGTTCTCTCTTTCTCTCTCTCTATATATATATAGAGAGAGAGAGAGAGAAATGAGTATGCTTGGTACCAAGCATAAATTTTTTGTTTGGTAGTGAGGTAGCACATTCTCTTCCACTAATTCAAGTGGGGGACCACATTCACATCACAATGCCATCTATTCCTCAATAATAATAATAATAATAATAACAAGAGTATCTAAAGATTTACTATTCATGCTATAGTAAATAATACAGTAAATTGCTGTAGCATATACGAGAACTATAGCGTTTTAAAATTATTACTGTAATATTATCGCTGTAACACAGACGGAATGCTGTAGCATTTTAAAAATATTACTATAACATTTACAAAAAACATTTAAAAATAAAATTACTATAGCGGAAATAAAAAAAATGAAGGTCGTGATTTGTACAGTGCACACTAGTAGAATGTAATTGCAACAACGCTTGATCATATTTATATTCAGTAAAACTAGTTATTTGGCGTTGTTGCCAAACACTGAAACACACCTCTAGATAAGCATCAAATAAAAATCCGCTCGGGGGTGGTTCTATCTCAAACCGCAAAAAATAGCTACAGTACAGGGGCCTGTCCGCAATTTACTATCCGCACAAAAACCCCTCTTCGCACTAATAAACCCTAGTTTTCCCCTCCTCTCTCTCTCTCTCTCTCTCTCCGTTCTCCGTTCACCCGCC